ATTAGTCAGACACTACACTCGGTATTATAAATCTAATGCAGCAAAAGTCAGCGGGCATGATTTCATTTTTCATGATGTGAAGGTATATATTTTTTATTTATCTATTTTTCTGTTAATTTGTTCAAATTAAATTTTTTACTAACAGCCTTTGACAATGTTCATTTTTTTTAAGGGCCAACGTATACACGGATGGGCACCCGGATGCTTATCCAAAAAGTTCGAAGACTTTAAACTTCTCGAAGGCAATGTATACGAGATAACAAATTTCGAGCTGGTGGAGGATAAAAGTGCATTCAAGATAACTAAGTCGAGTCACAAGTTCATTTTCTACAAATCAACTAACATGCGGGAGATAGTTGATGATGACTATCCGAGGTTGATGTTCGAGTTTAAAGAATTCAGCGAGCTAACCGACCCTGAGAGAATCGATACTTCCACACCTTTTGGTAACTATTATATTTTTTTTTAAAATAATACAAATTCTGGAAATCTCATAGTATTTACTAATTTTTTTTTATTTGTAGACATGATTGGCCGTATTGTTTTGTTTCAAAACGTACATACAAAAAATTCAAATGGAAGTCCGAAGAGGTGTATTGACATTGTGCTTGAGGATGTTGAGTAAGTTATACTTCATATAACTTTCGATTTATTTTAATTTGATTATAAACATCTTTTATAAATTAAATTTTGTTTTGTTGTACTATTTTATAGTGGCTGCCACCAAACATGCACACTTTGGGAAGGATATGTAGATGTCCTTCTAACTGCCTACAAACAGTCACCTCCGGCTGATTTGCACGTGCTCATAATACAACTTTGCCATGCTAAGTCATTTGATGATGGTATATATTTTTTGACTTAATTTAAATTACCATTTACTCCTATTGACATTTTTTAATATTGTTCCATTTTTTTTTCTTTTGTTGTAGGTTCTGTTTTGGTTTCCAATATTTATGATGCTACGAAATTGATAGTCTCAAATGATGTTCCTGAGATTGCTGATTTCAAGCAAAGATATATTTCCTAAGTCTACAATGCCTATTTATTATGTAATTCTATTTTTAATTATATAAAAAATTAATTTATGATTATATTTTTCTTTCACTAGGTATAATTCCCACACAAGGCCAAGGGAATCTTCATTACCTTATGTTAGGTCTTTCATGTCTAACATATGTGACGACTTGCAATCCGGAAGTGCACCTATCATAAGTGTTGCCGAATTTTATGCGTCCAAAGAGGTATCAATTTTACTTATTACAATTTTTGAATTACTATTACTCACTCATAATAAATCAGCAATCTTTTGAATTTTACTCACATACTAATTTTTTTTAATTTATATTTTCAGCCAAAAGACTATTGGATTTGTTGCAACATTATTGATATTTGGAGGGATTGGTATTTTAATTCTTGCCCCAACTGCGTTCGGAAAGTCGAACCCAAAGAAGAGAGGTTTTGGTGCAACCACTGCCAAGACACCATTCCATTTGCAATTATTAGGTAATTACATTTTAAAGTCCTAAAATTAATAATAAAGATTTTCTTATTTGTTTTTATTCATTTTTTATTGATAGATACAAACTGCATATTTCGGTTGGGGACAACACGGGAATGGTTCGTCTTTTATGCTGGGACAAGATTGCTAGAGAATTGGTTGGAAAACCATGTGATGCTGTTGTTAGTGAATTGATAGAGGCAAGGGTATTTTTTAATTTTGATTTTCCTCAAATGTTTTATTCTTAAAATATTATATTATCGAAATTTTACATGCAGGAAAATGATGGCTCGGTTCTACCTATTGACCTCGAGATTTTGATACACAAAGTGCTATTGTTCAAGGTTTCAAAGAAAAAAGGGCAATTTGGATCATACAATGGTCCTTTTACCGTTTCTCGATTAACAGCCGACCATATTTTGGTCAACCGATTTGGTTCTTTGGCCAACATCTTCCAGGTTGGCCTGATTTCATAAATATAAAAAAGATCTTACAAAGTATAATAGAAGTATATTTTTTATATTATATATTATTTAATTAATGAATATGTTGTAAAAATTCTCTTTTTTTATAGGACTCTCACGAAACCTCCACAGTGATCAAAGACTATTATGAAGCTGTTCAAGTAAACATTATATTTTTAGATTTATTATTATCAGCAGCAAAATATAATATTTTCATAAAATTTATAAATTTTATTATGTAGGAAACAAATGGTGAAGAAGCTGAACCAGGCAGCAAAGAAATAACAGGAAAAAGGGTTCAAAAGAAATTATTTGAAGATGAGCCGAGCTGTAATGGGGAGCCAAAAGACAAGAAAATAAAAGTTGAGAAAATCTGAGGGGATGGATGAAGATTTTATTAAATTGCAAGTTGGTTATGGGATATTAGTTTAAAGTTTACATTTTATGCTTTCAGTTCCATGCTGTTTCAAAACAGCAAGTTCAGTAATGTAGTTGGGAAATAATATTTGGTCTATGAATAAATTTTTTTGCCTTTTCTGTTTAAATACTTTTGCTATTATTACTATCTTTTTGTCTGTTACTTTAACGATAAAAATTAAGACAAAATGAGCAACTCCTAAACTCCTTATAAAAAAAATAAAAAAAAAATAAAATTAAATCCAAATTATAACTACAAAACCAAAAATGCCTACTTTTCACACACATAACTTTACAGTTATGAAATTTCAGACAAATTAACAGTACCAACTAAATGATGTTTGTAAGAAATTTAATGAAACCATGATTTCAGCAGTAAATATAGATGGCTGCCCAAAAAAAAACTGCTTCAGTTTTCTGCATTTGATCATGTTTTTCAAATTTTCCACAATGAATTTACTTAATTTTAATGAAAACCATGATTTCAGCCGTAATAGATGTCACAGAAAATATAGAGTTTTGTAATACATTAAAAATTCAAGAAATATGGTCAAAAATCCTAATAAAAGCTAACAAATGCACTTATTATATTCACCAAATATGGATGCTGCAGTTTCTACATAATAAAACAGAACTCAAATGTCGACTTTTCACACAAGTGACAACTTTTCAGTTTTAAAAATTCATCCAAATTTCAACATATCAACTTATCAAACACACAATATAGTAAAAATAAAGCTCATATGACGAATTATCAGGTATAAAAAACACAAAAAAAAAAAAATAAAACTCAGAAACTACCTAATCACCCATACAAATTTCCAGCAATTCTTAAATAAAATTAATACAGACATTGATCTGACTATTTTTGTTATTTATAGATTCAGTTTTTTTTATAAAGCATCTCTGATTTTTTAATTATTTAGATACATATTATTTTAAAAGTCAGCAAATTCATGATATCTGGACAATCTGGACAATAATCATAATAATATTTTTCTACAATGAATTTCAGCAATCCTACAGATTGCAGAAATAACAGAAAAATATTTGGACAATCTCCACAATAATCACAATAATATTTTTCCACAATGAATTTACTCAATTTAATGAAAAGCATGATTTGAGCAGTCATACAGATTGAAGAAATAACAGAAAAATATCTGGACAATTTAGACAATAATCACAATAATATTTTTCCACATTGAATTTACTCAATTTAATGAAAAAGCATGATTTGAGCAGTCATACAGATTGCAGAAATAACAGAATATTCATCAGTTATGTAATACCTTCCAAATACAATAATTCAGTAAACAATACCAATAAAAGCTCACAAATGCACTTAAAATATTTACCAAATATAGATGCGGCTGTTTCCTATATAAACAAATAAAATTTTATTTAGTGTACTTAACCCAAAAACAAATCATCTAGACTTTTGCATTTTCTCCATTTCTACAGCCAGGCACAAAAATGGCACATAATGACCAATCAAGAAGAGTATAGAAGCAAAGAAACAAGTTTGATTCAGCACAAAAGCATTCATATAGAGCTGGCAGTCAAACAACGTTGATTCAACACAAATCCAAAGAAACATGAAAAGGTTATCCAGCGGGTACAGCATATTGGGCAGAAAAAAGTCCAAACAAGATTCAACTGGAAATGGTACACCTATTACTGTGTACAATATGTTTTATTTGGTGAAAATAGAAGAATGAGTTACCTTTTAGCATCACCTCAAGCAATCATTTGTTTGAGGCCTTCAACAAATTACCTTTTAGCATCACCGATTAATGACTTACTTTTTATCATCACTTCAATGTCCTTTCTTTTTTGTGTTTTGTTGCTTTTCCTCGATCATTTCAAAAAACTTTGACCATTTCACCTGCACTTGAGATTGTCATTCTGTTAGGACTATGAGAACATGAACTTTAGATAATAATAAAAGTTTCAATGTTGACATACTTATTTTACAGAAATAATGTTCATATTACACAAAACCCTCAAAGTTTTACCAAAAATTAATATCAGAATCAGAACATCTTAAATATACAATGTTTTGTAGATTTACAACAAACACTAGACCACAGAAAAATTACAGTTCAAAATAATAACATGCACTAAGATAACATATGTATATTGCAGTACTATTTATAAATAGTGAAATGTGTAACATTGAAAAACACTCATCTGTTGGTGAAATGTGTAACATTGAAAAACCACAATCTCAGTATATATCCATAGTTAAATGCGTAACACTCATCAGTTGGTGAAATGTGTATATTGCAGTAATATTTAAAATTAGTTAAATGTGTTAAAACTGAAACACTTATCTGTTGGGCTTTCGGGACACATTTGGCCGCCTTCAATAGATATTCTCAGAGAAAGGTTTTTAAAATTTTCATAAAAACAACACAATAGATCATGTATAATATATATCTTCAAGTTAATCTCAAAAATAGGTGTAAAAATTTAAAATATCTATATATATATATATATAAGCAAAAACATTATATTAGCATCCGATTGTGAATTATTATAACAAAATGGGCCTCATTCGACCGCATAAGTTCACAGTACGGGTTGTACCCGTCCGTCGGAAGCTAACCCAAACGGAAATCTCAGAATACAAACTTTAAAAAGTAAAAAATCACAAAACAACTCCAGATCTATGATTTTATTAAAATTTTAATCGAAGGTAAATGTTAAAAAAAATTAAAAAATCGAAAATGGGCATATCTTCCAAGATCTATCACTTAATCAGTGACATGGCTCTACAGATCTGTATATATATAATATGGAAGCTAACCCAAACTGAAGTCTCAGATTAAAAAGATTAAAAAATAAAAAAAAAATCACAAAAAATAGAGATCTTTACATATACTTGATTTCAGTAAGATTTTAATCGAACAAAAACGTTTAAAAAAAGTTAAAAAAATAGAAAATTGGTGAGGAATCCAAGATCTATCACGTAATCAACGAAGAACTCTTCAAATATTTATAGATCTAACATGTAATCGACCGATTTTCACTGAGATACAAAAATGTTTTAAAACAGTAAAAAAATATATAGATCTGTAAAAAAATGTTTTAAAACAGTAAAAAAATTACAAAAATATATAGATCTGTAAAGACCTAGCATGTAATCGACCGATTTTCACCGAGATACAATGAATTAGTACATCGGTGTTTTGAAATCGGGTCGATTTCGATTTGTCGCCTCCTTTTTTTTCGAAAAACATTGAATCTCAGGTGTTTTTTCAGTATCTGCTTGAGAAACATAACTGAATCGCCGGAGAAACAACTTTTTTGGCAAAATTATCGCCGAAAAATGGTCCAACAATTTCAGTAGATAGATAAATGAGAGAGAGGGAGAGAGAGAGAGATAGTCGGCGACAGAAAACTTAAGAGAGGCGAGAAAGAAATGGCGAAAATGAAGGCTGCGTTAGGGTTTCTGTATTTAAATGATAAGGTCGACTCTCACGACACGCGTCGCGCATACAAGTCCCGATTTTATGGACGTGTTATAAAACATTCATTTTCGGTTAAGAAATGGGCTCAATCTTTCAAAACGAAAAATATATTTGGGCTCAGAAATGGGCTATACATATATTGATTTTAAAAGCCCAATTAATATGTTAATTCCTACATACATATTGATCTCAAATAGTTGTAGTAAAAAAATTACCATCTAAACAAGTGAAACTATTAAATGTATATATTTATACATATATTAATGATTATTATATTATAGACTTCTTTTTTTTTTATTTGTTCCAGTTTTTTATTTCACAAAATAAAATATTAAGTGTCACATTATTAAATTTACAGATGTTGTAACTTAACTTCAACTAAATTAATTTAATTATTGTAGGTTCATTATCAAATTTGTCTACGCTAACACCTTCGTTCCAAACATCACCAGTTCCTACTAATGCGTGTTCTATCGTTCAAGAACCCGGTATGTATATATTTTTATAATTATTGTAAATCTTTTAGAATTGTTAATTGTTTGTGTCATTGTAAGAAATATTATTATTGATATGTTTTAATTTTATTCAATGTTTAATAATCTTTTATTTTAGGTTTTCCAATCCTAAATTCACAATGTTCGTCTCAAAATAGTTCTATATCTCACCTTGCTAATGCTTCTTCGAGCGGTTCGGTATCTTTTATTGACCTTACAATTGAAGACGAAGAAAATATGACACCTACTCCGTTAGTTAACCATGTCTCTAAAGGTAATCCTATATTCATTATAAATTATCTCATTTAATTTATTTTATAACAAAATAAAATTTAGTTACTCATACATGTTTAACTTACGTCTATTTTTTAAGTTTTACCATCAAACTTGCCACCTCGGAAGAACGCACGCGGTCGTCCGAGACTCCCCTTACAACCCATCACAAATGGTAATTCAAATAACACTATCAATTTATTTAGTTTAATTGTTATGAAAAAAAATTCATCTAAATGTAAATGTTATATCTTCAATGATTATACCAATTATCCAATGACATGCAGATTCATCTTTGAACTTGCCATCTCGACCGAATGTAGTCGGGCGTCCGAGGCTCCCAATCTCTCCTTCCATTAACATCAATAGCACGTTACCTTCCGGTTCGTCGCACTCATCCATCAACACTGGTAATTATTTTTTGAAGATATTGTTAATTCTATTTTATTTGTTTTATGGTCTTTTTATGAATGATTATGAAGATTTTGTAAATAATTAAAATTTGTATTAGATTTTAAATTTATTTATAAATTTACAAATTACAATGCCACAGAATATTGGGATATTGGCGATGCATCGTTCCGTTGCCTACACTGTGGTGCGAGATTTTGGTACTCTGAGCGACTGGGCAAGCCATCTAAACCTAAAGTTCCAAAGTATTCTGGTTGCTGCAACAACGGATTCATCGAACTTCCACCTGTTTACACTCCTCCCCCC